TTGAGGGCGCGAGCGAAGGATGCAAGTGCGGTGACAAGTGCTCATGCAACCCTTGCAATTGCAAGTGAGAGAGCAGTGTCAAAAATTCCAAATCATGTTATTTATATGCCTACAGAAGTCTGCAGACAAAACAGGGAGCGGTTTATTCTCGTCAGGATTTGAGGAATTATCCTCGAGATCAATTTAGAATGCTAAGTTCTATTGTATATGTGACGAAGTAAATAAAGTCTGCAGAAGCATCTACTGATTTTGGAGCTGTAACTTAATACTGACCACATGAGTGAGAATGAGATGATAAGATGATTCGGCGTCCGCGAGTGGGCGTGCGCTCAGAAAGATCTGTACAATTGGAGTGAGAGTCAGCAAGATTTGAGTAATTTCAGGATTGTTCAATGCCTGTGAATATAAAGTCCTTGGTGAACGTAAAAACCCTCGATTGGTCGATCCGTCAATCGTTTAATGCAACCAACTTTCGAAGGATCAGCAGACAACAAATTACTTCTTATAAAATGGCACTCTGCTCAGCTTCATATGAACGCAACAAACAATCGAATCAGGTTTTCCAGCTCTGGTCAAATACGGACAAAGTCGGGTCCAAAGTTCTGGCGTCAAATCATGCACTCAAATCTGTAGCGTTTCTTTGTATCTTAGCACTTGTTTACATACGTGACAAACATTGTCTTATTATTTTGTCTTCAGAGAAAATGTACTTCGAACAATGTACTGGACTCATGCTTTAGACTTTTTGTATCCCATCGACCAATAAGCGTACCTCGTCAATCGGCATTCAACTTATGTTCCTCAACAAATGGTCAAGTCTAAGCTCATCACAACAACGAAAGAAAGCCCTTCACACATGCCTCCATTTATATCCATTATCACATAGTTGTATTGTAGAATACAATGTTGCTCACATTAAAACAAGTGAAAGTCATGAATGTCACTTCAAATTGAAACATGCTTTTCTTGCAAGATTGAACCACATCCAAGAAGAGGTTAATTAAGAAGTCATTCGAAGACGAGACCATCAAGTACGGTGACGTCGAGTACCAGAGTAAAGAGTGGAGTCGATACAAGCGCTTTGAAGAATGATAGCCAATAACCTTTGCGTTCTGGTATGTACTGTATATTATAATACTTTTGGTGATGAACAGGTTTCTATTTTGTACATCTCAATTTGATATGGCTTCTAGCCCACCATACTGATCTAAGATTGGTTTTCAATGTGTACTAGAATGAATGGAGAAGGTGGGGGTTACCTCAGGCGAGGCAACGAGAAATCAGATATTGAGGTCAACTTTGTTCGCATTAGAAAGATAATACAAATGTTTTGTCTTGCTATCATACAGGAGATCAAGGATCATGAGATATCTCTACAAGAAGAATTGAAGGGTTGATCCAGTCTCGATAAGGTTTTGACACCCACTGTGGATGAAATCTTCATCCATGTCGATAGGGATATTGAAATTCCAAAGCATCAAATTTCAACAGATCACCTTCGCCCGTTAAACAGATTTAATAAGTCATACTCGAGAGACAAGACGGTATTAAAAACCCAATTGGACTCTCTTAACCCTTATGTCTTTCTTACCCTTTCACTTGGAGATCAATTTCAAGATCTCAAATTTCTTGAACACTGACAAGAGAAATAAAAGACTTTGCGTGTGGCTGCTGTACACCGATTTCTTTTGTTCATTGTTCTTTAAACTATCTCAAACCATTCTCCACTAGCTCATAAGGATATATAATGGTGATAACCACCTCAGAACGAAAATCAGTAGAACCATACTGGAAATAGACTTCAACCCTGCAACTTGTGACATTCTCATTAGTTTGAGGGCGAGATCTTGAGCAATTCTTCCTCCAACCTTTTGAGTCCACCAAATCCGTGGGAAAAGGAGCACACCATTGTTATCAGAAGCACACACATTAACTGCTTGCTATCCTTGCTAAGTCCGAGGTCCAAATCATCTTATTCTCACGCATGCACTTTGGCTTTACAAGACCATTCTTTTGGGCAGAAATCTTCCAGCAGGTGCTTCTGCTCTATTTATTTATGTCGTCAGATATACAGAAGATCTGGATATTCTACATTGAGCTCGAAAATGAGTCCTCAAATCTTGGAAAAAGTACACCATTTCCTGTTCTCGAAAATGGACTTCTGTGAGAAGATAAACGACATGATTTCGATTTTATGATATTGCTTTCTCACTTGCAGTTGCAAGGGTTGCATGAGCACTTGTCTCCACACTTGCATCCCTCGTTGGTGCCCTCAAAGCTGTATCAGAAAGAACAATTCCATTAGTAGATACCGTTAAACCGACTCAGATCCATGAAGTCATGGTCGGTAGAAAGAATGTTGGTTGATGGTATTGTCATGTAGAGCTAATGAATGAAGAAGCCAAACAATAGGATTACAGATTTTATCAAACATAGATTACAAACTTGTTTTGAACAAATGGAAGCCGACGTGATCATAAGTACCCTCTCATCTCGGAGTTGTCGTATGAGTCCATGGACCTCGTTGGGCAGCAGCTACCAAAGTCAAGAAACCAGACATAAGTGAGAAAGATAATTATTCCAAGTTAAGATGAACTACCCAAATCTCAAACCACAGTCGTAATATTTACATACTGAACTCATGAACTTTGACCATAGATGGAAGATTATTGAGCAGAAAGCGGATGAGGGCATTCCCCGTCTCAAAAAAATGCTCGTGTCACATACTCGAAGCAAAAGCTGGCGCTTATAAAAAATTAGAGACACATAAAAAGAAATACCGATGGACACTACGAGAATTATATTTGTGTATTGTATATGGGGTTCAAAACCTTGACTTCCACTGACCTGTTGCCAGTGCTACACTTGCAGGCAGCACCGCATGAACAAGCAGAGCTTCCGCATCCAGACATCTTGAAATGGTTGAAAAGAAGAAAGGAACGCTTGGCTATACCACGGACAGCGGAATGGAATGGAATGAAAGAGATGTGAAAGTCAGAAGGTTCCAGAGCAAAGGGTTGTGCTGCTGAAGAATCCACAGGCATCAGTCTCTTTATGTACGAACTGCCTCTACCCACACGAAATTCCACAGAAGGTGCTGATAGAACAAATCACAGAGACTCCTCCGCCTTTGCCGGTGCCTTGGGTAATATCTGGGTATAACGGCCAGCGAACAAGGTTTGGACCTCATCAAATTAACCGGAAGCGATTGTTCATGAAAGCAAGACCGAAACTTTGTCTTGATGTCACAGTCGGTATCAATCCAGCGCTGAGCTTTAGAGATTAAGGCTCTTGAGCTGAGCTAAGGGATACGATGAGAATGTGTCTTGTCAAAAGTTTGTCATGTACGAGAAATCGTACGTACGTGGAAGTACCTTTTAGTCAGTGAATTCATGCACAGACTCATCTCACTTACCGATGTAGTAACTACACCATTTTCTTTCTTATATTTTTACATTTTTATATTCAATCATATTCTTGTAATGCTTAAAAAAATGATAATATTACCATGTCATTAAAATTTGTCAAAAATCTTGAACATCTCATCCGAACACATCACACATGTGTTAGGGTTTGTATTACCGAATAGTGTTGCACTGAAGTCTGATTTAATTATGGATAGGTGAAGAATTCTCGTGCGTACTCATCACTTTTTCAGATTGAAGGTGCCGATTCACTGCCATAGTGCGCATCGTAGCAAAGAGCAAAGTTAGTCTTGACATATGCACTGGAAGCAGCTGGCGCCAGAATCTTGTCACGTACCACGAAGTGTGGAGTGTGAGACTGGAACACACGTTGCTGGCCACTGCTATCCACTGCTATGTAACTGTGCTACAAGCTGGAATAGCTAAGTCGGATTCGTGTTCTCATGTTTCAGATCAGATGATAATATGGAGATAATATGACATATGCTATTATATCATGTATATCCCCTTGCAGTGGTGTTATTTTTATATTTGATGAAAAAAATAATTTATTTTCAATTTCTTTCTTCAATTTTTAATTTCTTTAATGTCAAACATAATTTGAAATCTACAAAATAATTTAATAGATTTTTCATTTTTTGGCTTAAGTTTTTAAAATTTTAATCGTTTACTCGAGGAATCAAACGTCAATCCTTAGTATTTGCGGGCCTTTGCTATGTCCAATTGAGCTGAACTAGTTAATTAGAAGAAAAAAAAATTATATGGAGATATGGTGACATATGCTATTATATAATTTACATCCCCTTGCAGTCGTGTTTGGTGGAATCCATCAAGTAGAATCATGCCTTTCGATCAAATATCGATAATGCATCTCAAGTCTCTCGGATGCCAATTGATCCGTTCAAACTGGGCTCTTCGGAACGTGCTAAAACGTGTCCTATGCTGTGAGTGTATTCAAATTGAGAGAGGACATAGTGTTGCGGATAGCTAATCGTCAATCATTTCCATGCTTCAGGAACAATCTGATCTGAATAACAGTAAAACAATGCACAGCCATACCTATAGTGAAAAGCCTCAGATCCCATCAAAATTCAAAACTTGTCAAGACAATGTTTTCATGATTATGGGCTAACGCTGCGCAACCAGGTTCTGACCGCTGGAGCCGAGCTATGGTAATGTATTACATCACTGAGCAACAAGTGAGACACTGAGATACGCTTGTGCATAAAATCACTGAGATAAAATACAAACTCTCCAGTACTTACACCTGACTCTAACAAGAGACGCTAACAATGCGGCCCTTGTCTCAGCTCAAGAGCTGAAGCCTGTGCAGCTCAGAGCTTGATTGAAGCTCACAGTAACAGGAAGACGAAGTTTCCCTCTCGCTTTCTATGAACAATCATTTCTGGCTGCTTCGATGAGCTCCAAACCCAGCTTGATGGCCGCAGAAGGCAGCTACTACTTACTACCCATGGCACCGGAGGAGGCGTAGGAGACTCTGAGAAATCTTTCTCAGCACCTGCTCTTGCATTGCGTATGAGTAAAGGCTATCATTATATAAAGGATCTAATAGCTCTGGATTCTTCAGCAGCACAACACTTTGCTCTGGAACCTCCTGACTTTCACATCTCGTTTATTCCATTCCGTTCCATTTCGTTGTCCGTTTTGAAGCCTAGCGTGAATTTCTTCTCTTAACCATTTCAAGATGTCTGGATGCGGAAGCTCTGCTTGTTCATGTGGCGCTGCCTGCAAGTGCAGTACTGGCAACAGGTCAGTTGAAGTCATTTTTTTAAGGCCCAATCCAATAGACCAATTGAGTTCAGATTATGAAGCAGGCTGCAGATGAGCTCATTTGCGGAATCCTTTGCATTCGACTCTTGAATGGGAACATTAGTGTAGGTATCATGAAGAAGAGGAATTGGATTCAGAAGAGGATATCATATTACATTAAACTCTGGAGTCTTTGGAACTATAGCCGAATGAAATCCCATGAATGCGGTTCTTGGAGAGTTTTCTTACATTCAAATTTTATTTGAGTTCAAGATATTTCATTGCTGACATTTACAAACATATTTGTCGTCTCATTCTATATTCTGGTTCGTTGACATTGCCAGCTGCTGTTCCTCGAGGTCCATGGACACCTTCGAGATCTCTGAGATGAGAGGGTACGTTTCAACCCGGCAGTCTCCAGTATAAATTTTCATTTTGTACTAGACGATGTCGAACGGCGTTGTGCGAATTCTTCACTCCGTTTCATCAGATCACATAGAACTGTGATTTAGCAAGCATGACTTCTTGGATTCTAAAGCGATTGATTGATATCTTCTGAATCTGTTGCAAATGATACAGCTTTGAGGGCGCCAACGAGGGATGCAAGTGCGGTGACAAGTGCTCATGCAACCCTTGCAACTGCAAGTGAGACGGGAGATTGAAGCTATGGAAGTCATGCTGATCTACTTACAGCAACCCTGTAGGAAGTCTGAAAGTGGTGATGAAGCCTCCTTCATATGAAAGTAGAAGGCTAAGATCCTCTGTAAATTGGATGGCTTAAATAAAGTAATATCTTCAGTGCGAATTTGTCTGTTGAAGGTTGCTTATATCGTCTGCGCCCAATTATGCGCACTGCAGCTGTTTCAACCACAGTAAATTGAGGGAATAAATGGGAGGTGAGGCAATTTGTGGTCAACAACTTTTGTTTGTTTTCTTGAATTAATAAAAAAGAACAGGCCTGCATGATGCAGCTATCTGTGAAAAGGATACAACCAGGCCATTTATCTTGACTTCAGTGGATTTCCACAATATGTGGTCTCGATTGGTGCCATTGCCCACCCCTCTTTGCTTGTGGACTGCAATTCAGTTACGAGGGATATGGTATCTAAGTAAATGCATCATCACACTTCAAGTAATCTGATATGATTAGTTATGATTTCATTGGCTCTGAATATAGAATAATTTCGAAAGCTAGTCAATGTGACTCTGGTTGTTTGTTGTAGTTAGTGAGTTTATCATAGATGCAATACAGAATATTTCAAAATGCAGTACATACAGGGCAATCTGATAAGGGATAAGACTGTATTTTTTGGAGTTTGATAGTCAAAATATGTTAGGCGCAATAGAAACAATTTACGCTTGTGATGCTACAGGACCCAGCCCCATGTTAGCCGGTGTGTGTCTTGTTAGGGCCTTCCATTGCTAAAATATGTTTGTACATTCTACCAAAATTATGATATTCCGATCGCCATCTTGAGAATATAATCATTATATTGCACTGCATCGGTGGTCCTTTGAAATATTCAGACATATATCTTTTTCTGCTATATGTAGTTCGATGTGAGTCAAAACGTTGCGTGACAAACTCACACGCATAGGTGCTCAGATGCGGAGTGAAGATATCTGATTGAGTGTGTAGAAACTAGATATATATTTTTTATAGAGGGCCTAGCTAGATGCAAGTGGTTTTTGTTTCACTGACTCTCATAGGTCACAAACTTAAAATCAGAGTCTATGAAGCAGGTTTCAGCTCGCTATTATCAGCATATTCTTTCCGAGAGAAAAAGTGAAGTATATACATTTACATAGAAGTCATGAATTGAATACATGGAATTCTTCACTTGGTAAGTCTAGAAAAGCAATTCTAGCTCTCCTAGTAGGCCAGGTTCACGAATCATACAGGAAACTTCGGTACCTCCGGGACGATAACTTTCATATTTGAATTCGTCTTTGTAGTCCACTATGTCAGAATGGCGTTCAATTGATTTGGTGTTATCGAATAGGATTTATATTCTATATGCGAAGGCATTTCCATCTCCTATCTAAATTATAGGAGATGGAAAATATCCACAAATACTCAAATAATCTCTTAGCAACACACATTCTGGAAACTCAGAGAGATCATTGTGACATCTTTTCCGTCTCACTTTCACTAAGCACATTTATAGAATGTTCTGACCAGTTGAAAGGAACAGATCTAGAATGTGATATGAACGCATGCGTGTTACCATAGAGACATCTTGACTAATTTCGATTTAATTCAACTTCAACCTTAGCCTTAAAAAGCATAGACTTCAGCTGCCACTTCGATGAAAATAAGAGCGTTGCATCTCGTATTGGCAATGAATAAAAGGTGACTGACATTCTAGTCGGCTCATTCATTAGGATTCCGCGCGAGTATTTCCTTGCTCAGATGTATGACTCGTTGTAATGGTGGTCTAATGCCGCGCAGCCTTTTGGGATTAAACATCAAATTACTTTGGAGTCGTGGAAGCTTATTGCTAAACTTTTTCAGCTAGACGATGAGAGCACGGAGTAGAATATGACTTCCATGGGTAGAAACGGTTAGAAAACGATAACTTTCATATTGGTTCTGGGTATTTTATAAGAGGACCATACGAAGCCCATCCAATTCAGACATATATACATATATGCAGATGATAGAAAACATACTACTTTGGATTTAACTCGAAAGCTCATTGCTAACCAATTTTCCATCTTAATTCCCGTTTATCATCTTACTTCAAACATGTAACATTCAATTTCTAGTAGTTAGATATGTTTAGATAATCTAGAAATTGTGTCAACTTCATGCATGAAAGCTACTGTATTTTCTGCTTAGCCAGGAAAGTATCAGGAATTAGTTATACTGTTGACATGTTTCTGGTATTCTTACTTCAGTCTGAAGCTTGCTGGGCAAAGAGTTCAGTCGAAGGCAACAATGTCGTGTAATATTTCGTATTATGGAGTTCTCTTGTCCACACAAAATACTACCATTCTAGTACTAACTGTGTATGGATTATGTAGGAGCTTGTAAAATGGGATGTGCTTGAAATGCAAGCGACTTAACACATGAACAATTCCAGTTTACTTTTTACACTTGGAGCTGCAGAACGGCATTTCTGACTACGATCCAATGCATTCGATTTGAGCGCTGTAAGTTACATCTGCAATCTCTGCGAGTTCTCAGTTTATGCTGTGACATGTTGACCTTACTGGTCAACAGCAGACCCTTCCTCATTCTTATGTTTACAGGTGGGTAGTGAATGACAGTTGGTACTCCTGCAGATGAGACTACTATGGCATTCTACTCAGAGATTAGTGAGCTTAGTCTTGACTGAAATTATCGTTGAAAAATATGATTCTATCTGTTCGATCATGAAATTCGAATAGGAAACAAAATTACAAGTTTAATTCCTCAGGCTTCCAGATTTCGTAGCTCTAGTTTCGCGTATCACTAGCAACATTGATATGCGCTTTAATTGTTGTCCGAAGTGTAACCTACGAGCGCAAACAATCTGTCGAACTACACAAAAGTTGATACTTAAGATTTTTAAGTTAGACCTTAGAATCACAATCCCTGAGCATCTCAACTCAGTTAGCGACGTTCGTAGTGACAGTAGTCGAAGGGCTGAATGAAGCGCCCTTCGATTGTAGGCATTTCACTTCCTCCGCTTCAGGAAAGTTTTCGACCTGAGAGAATAATACAATGATGAATAGACTCTTTTCTCTTAATTATTACAGTTAAAGATTTTCGCTAGATATTTGCAACTTTGTATATCTTTCAATAAAAATACCATTTGTTGAACCACAATCAACTTCACACAAGTCAGTACTCCAAAATCTGTAATAAAGCCGTTTTGCCAAACGTCACGCACGTGATGTATTAAAAATACGCAGCTAATGTGTTACAAAATTGCCGAGTTAGGCAGATATAAAACAGTTACTCAGTCCAAGCATTGTGCTTTAAAAAAACTAGAGTTTTTAGTCAAAATTGCTGAGATGCTAAAGAAGAACGGTAGGGTTGTTTTCTTTCAAGGGAGAAAGAGTTCAAAGTTGCAATCAGGCTCAGGAGATATGTTGCATGTTTAGCCTAACTTTCAAAAATTGAGAAGATTATACACAATTGGAAGACATGTATTGGCATGGCGTGAAGATAACATCTTTCTTCAGCCATGTGCTAAAGTGAGATTAAAATCCAATAATTTGTCTGGTGAAGATATATTTCCGTTAACAATACTATTTTGTGAGAGGCGATTGATTGAGAACACAAAGCCAAAGAGGATGAAACTGATTGAGATGGCGCAGCGAGCATCCCTAAAATTCAATTTTATCCAGAAAATTTTTGCTATCTCACGAAAGGAGAGGGTTGAATTAATTTAAGGTGAAGATTATGCCCAACAAAATTTAAAATGAAAAGCAACTTATATTTTGATTGATTTTGTTTTTGAAAACAACGTATGTCAATAACTGCAAGGATTACATTTTTGTTACGCATATATCAAAATCATGTTTAAGGCAATTCATTTAATCCAATATACATCTCACATACCCAAACATGAGGTCAAAAGGGATAACACTTATATTTATAAATATTTTCGATCTATGATTGTAACCTTAATAGTGCCAAAAGTACAAGGTTATTCTAGATGTAGGTTTGTATTAACATGTCGAACATTCTCCAACGAGTGGCTCATCTCGGAGCCATAATGAGGATAAAGTTCAATTTCTTCTGCAAAAGCCCCGAAATTTTTTGGAATCTCGGATGCAAAGAGTGGGTGATGTTACGGCAGATTATGATTCAAAACCTTAAAAAAAATGTTCACCTCCCATGTCTAGTAGAGTTTAAGTTTAGCTGCCTTAAATTTTTCTCTTTTCCTTAAAATTAACACGTCAAAATCCATGAATAGCTAAAATATCTACTGGTAGAAAGATTTGATGTCTGCAACGTCTTGTGATTGATAAAGATCAAGTTATTTGTGACTTAATTGAGAAACAAATTGTCAAGAAAAGACTAAATTTTTTGATATCGATGTGTATGATTCCAATTGGAAAAGAAAGGAAACAAAATTCTCTTTTTTGAAAAACTCAGTTATGTGTACGTGAAGAGTGGTAAAACTATTACCAGATTTTTAAGATAACAAATATTTAAGAAACATCATCGTTGTGACGCAGCGGGCATTTGGTCTAGTGGTATGATTCTTGCTTTGGGTGCAAGAGGTCCCGAGTTCGATTCTCGGAATGCCCCCATTTGGCCTTTTGAATCTAATTGAGAACGGCGGAAGTTCCAATTTGTTTCTTCTCACCTGCCCCGACGACATGAAAAACATGCTGAATATCTAAAGCTGGGGATTCTCCGTAGAAACCAAATCCAGGCTCTGTTAAGATGTACCCAATTCGATCTAGCTGGGACTACATTCTGTTGCTTGACTTTCATTTCTCTTCTTTTGAACGCATTAGATACCGAGTATGATAACAATTATTTCAAGATAATTTCAAGCTAATTTATGATTTCGGGTGCACGGGCGTGTTCATGAGGACAATTCCTGGAATAAAGAGGCATTGCCGCCGCATTATGAACATGTTATTTACTCTTTTCAGTAGAAGCTTGAACCGGATATGCTCGGTTGAGCCCTTTTGATTGAAAGCAGGATTTGAGATGTAATATTCATTGCAAGTCTTTGGGTAGGTATTCCCATCGTTTTTGCTATTTTATAAATCAAATCTTTTATCTGAGGTCGAATTATTACCATCTCAAGTTTCTTGAGTTGATAGTGTTCGCTTCATTTACAATCAAATGTAAAGAAATGATCTGGAAGAAAAATACTTTCCTACAACTGAGCTGGATGTGTTGGAAGAAGAAACTGTAAGAGAGGAGTACACAATTAGTTGCTAGTGTCTTCGATGTAAACTTCTTTGCGTCATTGATTTTTGCATAAGTTCTTACTCTCTCCATCATTATCATCCTTGTTATTTTATTTTCGGACTAGTGACCACCTCATCAACATTATCATTATTAAACTACCTCCTCTCTACTCTCCAATATGATATTTATACAAAATTTATTATGATTAAATTTAAAAATTTTTAAAATTTTGTTTCATTGATTTTTTTAAGTTCATTTTAACTAAAATTGATTTTATTATTATTTTTTAATGCAATGTTTTTGTCTCAAATATTTAAGCTTTTGAAGTATTGAAGATATTCAAATTTGATAATTTGTGATTTTTCAAATAAATTAATGTTAGTATGCATTATTTTGGAAAAATCATAGCTCTACCTTTGGATATTAGTGACTTCAAAATTTCTTTTCAGTATTTTTTATCCTCAAATATTTGAAGTGTAACTATCAAGATTCATAAAAAAATTTATTTGATGGATTTATAAATTGCTTTGAGCATAATACATAATTGTGTTATTGTGAGGCGTAAATATATGTATTGATGTACAACAATATTAGCTTGCAAAATCCTTTATAATATGTTATATCATCAAAAAAATAATTTTAAATGAATCTTAATATTGATGCACCAGATTTGTTGTAAATTATTCACACACAAGAATTTGCAATAGATCTCTGTAGATTAATTCCAAAATATTATATAAAAAATATATGAAATCTTTTGAAAAGTATTTCAGAAAATTTTATAACACAGTTTTAATAAATAAATATATTTTTCAAAAAAATATCATCTAAGATAACATTTCAATTATGAAAAAATTTCATGATTTTATTCTAAAATTTAATAATATTTAATTTTACAAAATATTTGATAAATTATATTAAAATTTTTAATTAATTAAAAAAAATTGATAACTAATCAATAAATATCAAATTTTTATTTTAAAAAAATCTTTTACACATTTTTAAGCACATAATTACAAATTTTTTTGCAATCTAAAACAATTGAACATTTTTATTTTTTTTCAATTATTATTTTTTCAAATTTTGGTAATAATAATATTATGGTTTTTTAAAATATATGTTTTCTAGTTTCAAATAGGATAATATCAATATGTGGTTAATCTTAAATTGCTTTTTATGTTTTTTAATAATGATTGATAGCAAAATTCACACTATTGACATATGTACAACAATAAAAACTATGCGCAAGAAAATTGGTTCAGCTTCAAATAATAAGTCAAAATAAACCATACATATTTGGTCACATATCCTAGATTTGTTTAATGAAAAGCTAAAAAATCATTTTTACATAGTGACACTCTATTTCTTATTACACCTTTTAGTAATCCCGAATAATAAAATCAAAATATATTATTCATATCTCTCCATCAACTTTTGTCCTGCATTGTGTATTTTTTTTATTAATATCATTATTTTGTAAATGAATCGCAAACAAAACCTTACCTTTATTACTTTGTATACTAAAGCTAATTAAAAATAAACTGTAATACAAAAATGAAATAAATTCATATATAAAGATTGCAAAATTGCTAATGAACTCAATTTTTGTAAAACTTTCATAATAGCACAAAAATTTCTAAATCTCTTCCAAGTAATAAAATTGGTTTACGCATCAATTGAATTGAAAATTTTATGAATGGTGACTAGATATTAATTTTTTTCAAAAAAACAGTTCTGATAAATAACTATTTGAGGTTGATGTGTTTCATACTACTATTTTTCATTTAATTTGTTGCAAGATGCAATGCATTGTCATTATTGAATAAAGATTGACAGCATCATTTTTTTCTCTAAATTTTAATATTTTCAAATAAATCGATTTTTATATTTTTTGGTTGCCGTTACATATTCGACTTTGCGATTATGCATTTCCTTAAGGTAAAACTATAACTTATGCATCCATCATCAAAAGTAGACACAATTATGGTCCTCTTTTTTATTACAGTATGTGACATTAGCAGTTGCATGATATCCATGAAATTTCATACATTTAGATTTGGATGGATGAATCTTAGTTTTGAATAGAGTCTCAGCTTTTTCGAACAGAGGACTTCTTCTTACTTGACATTTTTTCCAAGTCAAGCCTTATATCCATGACATTTCATCCAATTAGAGTTGGATGGATAAATCTTAGCTGTGGAGCTTGAATCTCCATCTTCCAAGTAACAGATTCTTCCTTGTCTTGGCATTGTTGCCAAATAAAGCCTTCTGAGTGAGTGTGTGAAGAAAGCTTGTGTGAGGTGAAATTGCATTTTTTGCAGTAAATTTTGAATTCCATTCTACTTATTTAAACGTTTGAATTGATGTGATAACAAGAGAGCTTTACTCATTGTGTACATTTGAAGAGAAAATTGAAGTTATTGTGAGTGTTTGACTCTATTTTTTCTCACTTGGCAAGAATGCCAAGACAAGTAGTATGATGATGAAGGAGGCTACGTACTTAAAAACCTCACGCTCCACAACTAAGATTCATCAATCCAAATCTAAATGGATAACTATCCATGAATGAATAGTCCTATTTTGGATTTTGGATTAGTCCTATTTTGAATGAATAGTCCTACTTTTATTTTTAAAACTAAAGTAATATAATTTAGATGCATAACATAACAGTATTTCAATAGTATCAATTGTATATAAAATTTTATTTTATTTTTCAAATAATTACAAATTATATTAAAATTGACCATGTTTAAAAATATATTTGACGTGGTTTAACATTCTTAAAAATCTCAAGAATATCTATAATTGATATTGATTAGATATTTCTTCACATGTAATATTTCATTTGATTATTGAAACTTTTTTACATTTGATTGATGTGTTGCCAGAATGAACATACCATCCATCTAAAAACATTATACTTATGAGGTTCAAAACATATTGGTGACGAAGTTGAGGTAACATATATGCAGCGGATACGGAACAAACTAGTGGAGGAGAAATGTCTACAAGTACCCAGCAAGAGATGCTCATTCTTATTCTGGTCATGCACTGTCGCTTGCTCGCAACGTTATAAGTGAGGGAGGTTGTTTCAACTTAATGTACATAATCACGATCTGTTCTTTTCAACGCCTGGACAAAGTGCCTTAAGCTACTTCGACCATGGCAGGGATTTCTACGCGTAATTCCCAATGAAGAATCTGGATCGTCCGCTCCTCGAGGGCCAATCTGCTCTATGTTATGGACGTCTTCGCTCTCAACCCCAAACGAATAGTCTTCACGGTAGCCGTCCGGCTACCGTGAAGAATGAAGCGCTCATCAACTAACAGTTGCCTCGAAAGTTTTCAAGTTTCTGTATGATCAACATGGAGAATCGCAATCTTCTCTGTAACCTCTGCTGGGTCTTCATCAATAATGGCGAGGACTGGACAGAAAAGTCAACGGGTACTGTTGGTTGTTCACTACTTGAAACTTATCCAGGACTTTGCCTCGGACTATTATCGACCTAGTGCTTGAGGTTTTAGCAGGCAGCCGACCTGTTCTTGAATTCTTCTTCGCTCTCTTCTTCACACAGAACTCAATCGGCTGTAGAATTTCGAAGTAAGCAGGAAGAAGCAATCTTTATGTCTAACTTTAAGATTCTTGACTGTGTGCTGCCCGGGGCTCAAATGCTCAACTCTTGTACATTATCGTTGAATATCTGAAAGTCAAACTGGAACCTACTGAGGACGATTCAAAAGGAGGAGGTCAAGAGAGTGAAACTAATGATCGATAAACAAGCTGTGCGTGCAAATACTGGTCCAAAACGGGAAACTAAATTGACGAAATTGGTAGGTGAGCGAATAAAGATCAAGTATATAGAAAATTCCGCGCCACTACCCGGATACATCACAAAGCTACAGGCGCCATATCCCCAGAAAAGTCGACCGCGTTGAAGGCTGCCATTGCCATTCAACCATTTATTATTCTGCGAAGGGCAATGTTGACAAACTCGGAACGCTCTTCTCTGGGGCCTTCACTTGCACGCTTCCAGTCTCAAGCGATACATAAATGCGTCTCTTTTCAAAGCATTCTGTAATCTACCTATGTAAGGGTCAGTGGTCGTTGCTACCCGAACTAAAGGCCTAGAAGAAAAAGAAGAAACTGAAGAACAATGTTCTCGACTTCAGAACGGGGAAATTCCGACAGAGAGATAACGCAGACTGATTCTCGCCTTCCCTCTCTTCATTCTCGACGATAATTTATACAGCTTCGAAGGTGGAATCTGCTCTACTGACATTCACAATCGGACACTTCAAAAACGGATCACCGAACGAATCGAGCGCGAGGCAGCAGAGAGGCCGAATCTTCTCGGCTGCGACGAGATCAACACAAGCGACCGCGGGCTGGCCCATCCGTCGCTGCACGTCGGGGCACCCGAATGCCGGAGAGGAAATCGCCATCGCGCCTGCCTGCTTCCATTATCCGACCCTCGCCCGCGAGCTCTCTTTCTCTTCTTCGTTCGCAGGCGAGCTTCCTGAAAGCGATTCAAATGTGGAGCGGCAAACCCAACGTGCCGTGAAGCAAGAAAACGACTACCGTTACGCAGTTTGAGTTTCGCTTTGATTCACACGACGGTGACGTTGAGCCACGAACGGTGTACGTATGAAAGGCCCCGGCCGTCAGCTCGGAATTATAGGGTCGGGGTGGCTTTAGTGGAAAGTGTTGTGAGGGTCACTCATCTCTGTGAGCTGGACACTGGTCAACATTGGCCCAAAAGTCTTCCCGAGGAAAGTCAGCAACCCACCCGCACAAGGAGGAACCTCATACTCAGCTAGCAGAGGAGGAAATTTCTGATTGCATATATGGGATGGTCTGGAGGGATGGAGGATTTCGATTCGGCGACAATACAAAGTTCATTCTGAGCGACGCTACTTTCTCGCACTTATATTAGAACTTGTCTTCTGACGAGGAGGAGAAGTAAATGGATCACATCCTCTCCATACTCTCCGATTACGTCGTCGGCCGTCGATCACGCAAGTTAAATGCAATGTCTCTGCCCCCTGCGAATTCGGCCACTGCCGCCCCGAGGGTAAGCTAATCACAATAATGTATGCAAATTACAGTATAGCAGTTCTGGAACGTACATCAATGTTTGCGCTATTCCCAATTATTTCTTGAAACCTAAGAATCTCAGAGCTGCAGTATGTAAGATCTGTCCACGTTGTTTGATTGCTGATCTGCATCTGTTATATCAGTTAAGCGACTCTGTATACGAACTTCACAAGCCAGGAGTTGAATCACTGCTGGACGTTGTACTCTTTCATGGCCTACAATCGTCACACACCTCTGTAGCTCACTTATCAACATGGAGGTCACGCGGTTGGCAAAAGGAAGTATGGCCGATGACCTGGCTCCCGGAAGAGTTTCCTGGAGCTCGGATTCTGTCTGTCACGTACGATGCTTGTACCACAACATCAGCAGAGCATGGAAGATTAGACCTCTACTGCACAGCCGAAAATTTGATGCAAGATCTTATATCTGCAAAGGTGGGGCAGCATCCTCGCGTCCAGTTATACTTGTCGGTCACAGTTACGGAGGCTTGGTGATAAAACAAATGTGCCTCCACGCGCACCGCACAGAAAGCTTGCACCTCTCTAAGGAACAAATGGCTGGATTTCTCAACTGCGTCAAAGGAATTTTCTTCTATGGAATGCCCCATCACGGAATGTCATCTTTCTTGAGTCCGAATGGAACACACCTGAAAGATGCTAGCCCTCTAGTGGACTATGTGAAGCTGCTTTGCACACAATCAGCTCGCCTTCATGAAGATTTTGATGCTTTACGATGGTCCTACAAGTGGAGCATTGCTGGAGTCGGAGAATCAAAACCTACTAGGTTTACTAATACCGTGAGTGTGAGGCTGATTTGCGTTCACGATGTGACATGTTTGTTCTTAATTGTAATCGGCTTGATTTTAACCTGCTGAAACATCATACCTCAATTCTGCATCCACATATCTTGGTTCTGAACCCAGTACTTCTATGAGATTATTTGGATTCATTTACAAAAGATCTCGACAGGGTTCATGAACTTGGCTGAATTCCGTTTTCACTTTTTGGAAATCCATCCACCATAGAAGGATTTCAAATGACGATTATGACCAGTGGTTTGTTCCAACCTTTTTTCGAAGTATAGGAAGCGGGGTCTCAGAATGCTGTTGCAGTTAGCAGTGAGATGATAGTAAATGAGGCTTCAGCTCGGTACGGCGACTTCACTGTGGAGCGTGAGGATCATGTCTCTCTCTGCCAGCCCGAGAGCAGGACTTCAAATACTTACATACGTTTGACAGCGTTCATTCAACGTATTGATGACAATAAGGTTGCTCACCGGAAGATGTTCTCCGTCTTAGCAGGTTTCATTTTTCTTCAAGAAAAACAAAGATTAGCCCTGCAGACCCTCTTTTAGATGTATGCGGGCCAAAAAAAGTTCATGAAACCAGAAGAGTTTATTACAGCGGCAGTGCGTCGATAACTAGATCATTGTCCACAGAATTTCAAATTATGGCTTTCAAGCAATGGCCATTCTAGTTGTGTGAAATTCTTCGTGGCCTACAGAGCTAAACTGCGTTCGGCTACTGTGATATGATGCAGGTGAATAGGAGGAGACTTCCTGATAATTTCCAGAGGGTGCCGAAGATGGCAATGAGCCTACATTCTCAACTCTTCGTACAGGTTCAAATCATCTTACGTACAGCTCCAACAGTAGGTCTTTGCGGCATGGGCGGTATAGGGAAATCAACTCTCGCAAAGCTGTCGTTCAATGAATTGTGTGCTGAATTTGAATACACGTGTTTTGTTCCTGGATTTATGTTGAAGGGAGATTACAAAGAAATAGAACGCGGAGTGTATTCATCTATGTATCACCATGGCCAACAAGTTGCAAGAAGTGGAGAAAACAAGGAGTGGAAACCCACTGCTTTGAGACTGAAGACACTTCTTTTCATTCTGGATGATATTGACAATGATAGGCATGTTGAACTTCTCCAATACATATCTTCGCTGAATGATTGCGAGAACAGTCGCTACATTGTTACCTCTCGAGATAGGGATATACTGAACAGGTCGGCTGCATGCGTGTACGATGTGAAACTCTTGAATCACAAGAGCTCCAAAGAGTTATTTATGAGCTACGCATTTCCTTATTCGACAGAACCGAATTCATCATTGACACAATGGGTAGACAAGATCGTTGCAAAATGTGATGGACTACCGTTAACCTTGGAGGTGATGGGCAAATATCTGCTGAGGAAAGTCAGTGAAAGCATATGGAGACAGTGTCTCGTCGCTTTGGATGAGGCAGACAACGTAGTCGGTTTGAATGAACGGTTGTGGGCAAAATTGAAAGTGAGCTATGATCGTCTGGGTAGTCAGGAGAAAGAAATATTCCTTGATGTTGCCTCTTTCTTCAGCAATTCCTCGTGGAACTTACTAGAAGCCAAATCTAGTTGGCGTGTGCTTTATGGCTACGAAGATCTCCGATGGCAGACTCTGGTAGATATGTCTCTCGTCTACGATGTTGGCGAAAAAAAAAGTATACAAATGCATGAGCAATTGAGATCTTTGGGAATTAAACTGGCTTCGGAGTGGGGAACATGTGGCAGATGTAGGACTTGGATTAAGAAAAATGTCCCCTCGAGGTTTAATTCCCCAAACTACGATGAGAGGATCGCAGAAGTACAATCCTATTCAAGTGATCCACATCCTCACTCATCGAGCACTGGCACGGAAACGCATATTGAGGTATGAGATTATGTTCAAAAGCTTTGACTCTGAAGGTTCTATCTTCACACTAGAGTTCTTAGAAACCTCACTTATATATTGATGTACATCATTTATGACACTAGAGGCACATCATTGATCAGTCAGTTTTGTTTTGCTAGTTTTTTCTCTTAACTTTTTGTACACGGCTGTTTCAAAGATTCACTGATCTTCCTATCAGTCAGCGTACTGGATTTGCGAGTCTAACAAACTTTCTTCATGGATCCAACTACTTTACTTTCATTATGTCATTGAAAGCACTCTTGCTCTTTGCTCTTTTCAACTTCTTGAGGCATTCATCAAGTAACATAATCGCCACACAACATTACTAGGTTTGCCCATCCTCATCCAGCTCCTATAAAGCCTTTTCATGACACATCGAGCCCTTGCAACGTCCCCGTCCTTCATCTCAAGTCTGGCGCGGCGAACCCTACGCCTTGGCAATTAGGTGAAGGTGCACATAGCTCTCCAACACACAACTTTTTTACAACTGGTCGACGCGAGGAAGAAGTGAAGAAGCTCTGACCCACACTTAGACGTTTCACTATCCTATGCCTCGTTCAATTTTTGCATATTTTAACCATATACCACATTCCAATAGTTTACTTCCAGGAACTTCTCCTAGCTGGACTTTGAATAATTGAGCAACGTCTTGTTGGTTTTCCGTCCACGAGCCTACGAACAAGTTGTCATATTCCTGGTTTCTCTTGAGACTGTGATCTCCTACGGAAGCTCCTCCTCACTCAATTTGGGCTTTCCTGTGAAGGATGTCATTGAGTTACAACCTAAAGACTCTATGGCCCTGATCAAATGACATGCCACAAGTCTGCTAGGTCAAGTTTAGATCATATACTATATCTGTGGCCTGGGATGTGAACTAGGCCCTGTGTGTTTTGGTGCAGGAGGTCATGGCGCTACGACTTGAAGACTCGATGCCCCTCACCTGGAGAGATATTTGCCAGATGAAGAAGCTGCAATATTTGGATTCCGAGAAGGAGTTGATGTTGGATGAAGAAGGTGGCAAGCTTCCAGAGAACTTGGTCCTTCTTCGATGGCGTGGAGAAGTGGACAGTCTTCATGACCTGGTCGACGGAGGTTCTGCGAGCCATTTGGCTGTTCTGGACTTGAAAGCACCGCTCACATGTTTGCCAACAACCATCGGCGAGTTCCGAAACCTTGAAGTTCTGAAATTCCATGGCGGCCTCTTCCAAGGTCTTCCCGAATCGTTTGTACAACTTCCCAGTCTTCGTCATCTGACATTTAGCAATTGCCGTAGACTTCGTTCACTCCCCGAAGCTTTCGGACGGCTCTCACAGCTTGGATTTTTGGAACTTAAATTTTGTCGTAATCTTGAAGCATTGCCCGACTCGATCGCCCAGCTCCCCCGCCTGCACACTTTGTTCATCGAGGGAAGGAACAAACTTCAAAGGTTGCCCGAGGGTGTCGGAACTCTATTCCATCGACCAAGACTGTTGGTTGCACATGTGCCAAAACTGCCTCAGTACATCGAACATACCATGCATGTCATTAATATTGGTTTCAGCACGCCATATATAGTACCCTGCCAAGCCTTACTGGAATTTTGTAGGCAGAATCCGATCATTCCAGATATTGAAAACTTTCTTGAAGACGAGCCTGACATGCACCAATTTTCGAAGATTCCATTAATCCGTCCTCCCTCATCAATGAAGGCAGGGAAGCGGATTGTGAGAGCTACTTGGGTGGAAAACCTCGAGTTGCCCTTTTCTTCTTCGCCGAGACAGATCGAGGTGCAGATCATTCATAATATACGTTTTCGAAATCATCGAGATTACCATGCATGTCATTAATATTGGTTTCAGCACGCCATATATAGTACCCGGCCAAGCCTTACTGGAATCTTCTAGGCAGAATTTGATCATACCAAAGGGAGTCTCTCCGATCATTCCAGATATTGAAAAATTTCTTGAAGACGAGCCTGACATGCACCATTTTTCGAAGATTCCATTAATCCGTCCTCCCTCATCAATGAAGGCAGGGAAGCGGATTGTGAGAGCTACTTGGGTGGAAAACTTCGAGTTGCCCTTTTCTTCTTCGCCGAGACATTTCCAGAGTTCAATGTAATGTTTTTACATGAGAACGAAGCATGTATGTTAAATCAATCATGTGTTTGCATCATGTTTCTGAATGAGAAATCAATGTCAGAACTCTATTGTAACATCCTTAGTTTCACAGTCCATTCAATACATTTTTTTTCTCTCTCCTGTATGAGACCTTTCTTCGATATTAGGATTGTGAAATCTCCGATGGATTTTTTGTTCTGAAGAGACTAACACGCATTTTTCATCACATAGAAGGAAAGAACACATCAATCGACTCTGAAGCTTTTCCAAATCACCATAAACTACATTTACACCCAGCTTTACAACGAAAATGTATATATTTCTAATCAATCAAATACTGATAAGCTTTCCTCTGAACCCTTCTAGGGATGATACCATAACTTCGATAAGAAACACGAATAGAGTTGTGAAATCCCATATTTCATATTCGATATATCGATGTTTATCTCCAATGTTCTAAAAACGCTGTGGTAATAGATACGTATGTTATGCGCATAATACAATCGTTATAAGTGCAGTATGCAATATACATTATTCTAATGCTATGAGGATTTAACTTTGTGACGATTGATACAAACGGACAAAGTCTGGACAAGAAACAAAAACCAGTGACACCCTTGCATCAACTGAAGAGAGCTAAACTCTATACAGTTCAGCGGTTAAATTATGCTGACGGTGAGATGCACTGTCAGTCTCACTTTGGCGAACAATTATTTTTGGCCACTTCGATTAGCTCCAAACCCTGTTTGATGGCCGTAAGAGGTACAGACCATTCATGGCACCGGCAAGGGCGTCGGAGATTCTGTGAGTTGTGTTCTCAGCACCGGCTGTTGAGTTTGTGTGGTTAGAGGCAATCACTACATAAAGAGACTGATGCCTGTGGATTCTTCAGCAGCACAACCCTTTGCTCTGGAGCCTTCTGGTAAGCCGAGCGTTACTTTCTTCTCTCAACCATTTCAAGATGTCTGGCTGCGGAAGCTCTGCTTGTTCATGCGGCGCTGCCTGCAACTGCAGCACTGGCAACAGGTCTGTTGAGTCGACGGTTTTCAAGCCCAGATGCAAAGAACAAATGGAGCTCTTCGGAATTCATATTTCTGTATTTGAGTGTTATTCACAAATGCTTTTGCTTCGAGCATGTGATAGGAGCATTTGTTGAGACGCATTCAATGTACATAACATAGACCTTGAAGAATGGCTTACTCTGCTTTCTGATAAGAAAATCTTCAATTGATGGCTAAAGATCATGGGTATGTTCAGTATGTATCATGAAAATCTACACTCGAGAAGTATGTACAATGTGGTCTGAGTTTTAGATATCTAATCTTAACTTAGAACAAATGTGTCTCTCACTTCTTTCTGTGGTTTGCTGACTTTGATAGCTGCTGCCCGATGAGGTCCATGGACATATTCGAGAGCTCCGAGATGAGAGGGTACTTACCATCCCGTCTGTTTCCATATCTTGACCACATTTGAAATGCATGGTTGATTGAATCTCTCATCCTGCTGTTTTGGCTCCTTTCCTCTTTGGTGCTACATCACTGCACCATCACCGGACAAAAATCTAGCAACAATGGCCTCTTGGATTGTGCTACAGTCGATTAGCATCTAAGAATGGATTTGCACTCTCTGATACAGCTTTGAGGGCGCCAACGAAGGATGCAAGTGCGGTGACAAGTGCTCATGCAACCCTTGCAACTGCAAGTGAGAGAGCAGTGTCAAAAATTCCAAATCTTATTATTTACATGGTTACAGATGTCTACTGACAGAAGAGGAAGGCGTTTATTTTCGTCAAGATTTGAGGAATTATCCTCGAGATCAATTTAGAGTGCTAAGTTCTATTGTATATCTGACGAAGTAAATAAAGTCTGCAGAAGCATCTGCTGGAAAATATCTGATCTTAGGCTGTAATTTTATACTCACCACATGAGTGAGAATGAGATGATGAGAGGATTCGGCGTCTGCGAGTTTGTGTACGATCAGACAGATCTGTACAATTGGAGTGAGAGTCAGCAAGATTTGAGTAATTTCATAATTGTTCAACGACTGTGAATATAAAGTCCTCGGTGAACGTAAAAGCCCTCGATTGGTCGACCCGTCAATCGTTTAATCGAACCAACTTTCGAAGGATCAGCAGACAACAAATTACTTCTTATAAAATGGCAATCTGCTCAGCTTCGAATGAACGGAATCAAGAATCGAATCAGGTTTTCCAGCTCTGGTCAAATACGGACAAAGTCGGGTCCAAAGTTCTGGCGTCAAAGCATGCACTCAAATCTAAAGCTTTTCTTTGTATCTTAGCACTTGTTTACATACGTGCCTTTTTCCGATGGCTTGTGTAGTAGCTGCCTCTTACGGGTGTGGTAACACACTTTTTGTTTTTTTTGCAGAATTTAAACAATTTTAGAAAACTAGTACCGAAGCAGTGTTTGTAGTTAGAAAAGGGTACGTTAAATAGAGTGGATTGATGAGATCGTCACGAGGACACGAAGATTCACGTAGTCGGATGTACCCACGCCAATGTCTTCGGCGCCTTCGGCAAAAGCTCCTTTTCTGAGGTGTCTCTACTCACGCGCCTCCAGCGTATAAGGAAGCTACGCTTCCGGCGCAGACAGCTCAGGAGGAGGTTTTGCTAAAGACGTCAGGAGAAGGGCCCGGACCTCTGAAGGCGTCCGACCATGAGTGCGCCTTCGGCGATGCGCCGTTAGCGCGGAAAGGGGAAACCTTCATAACAATCGGGATACACAGTAGTTCCAGTTGGTTGAAGTTGCATTAGAAAGAGCTTGGTACGCTCGTTCTAAGGAGCCCAAGAGCGTCGGAGATGGATAAAGGATGGAGAAGTTATGAGCGTCGGAAAACTCGTAGCCGGACATGCGCCGTACGCGCTAGGGTTCACAGTCGGAAAGGATTCCCGTACGCCCTCGGCGATGCGCCTTCGGCGGAATCACGCGCTCATAGGAGGAAACCAACTCAGAGTCGGAAGCGCCTTTGGCGGCTGTTCATGGAAGGAAAGCGCCGGTCGGATGTACGCCTCCGACGTGGCGCTGACGGCCGGATGCGCTGGCATGAGTTGCGCTGGCGGATATGCGCCGGCAGCAACGGACGAGGCATAAAGGACAAAATAAGTGGTACGACTGCGCGCCGGCGTAATTCGCTCCGACTAGATGTGCGCCTCCAGCAAGGCGCCGACGGATAATGACCGCACCAGCGGCGACACGCCTCCGGTGAGGGACGGGTTAGGAAAAGACAACAGGGCCGACGTATACCCTGCAGCGGACTCGAGTCCGGAAGGTGGCGGCGGCGGGAGAATTCAACATTTACGCATGCGAATGCACGCAGTGCGGAGACGTGAATTCGCGCATGCAAAGGGCAAACCGTTAAGCCGTATAGCCGGCTGCGTACGTTATAACCAGTAAGAACGTTGGACGTTCTTGAAATCGGAGAAGAAAAGACTGCGCTCCAGTCTCATTCTCTCATTCTTGATTTTGCGATTTCCAGTTTCCAAGATTACGCGCAAGAGCGGAGCGACCTGCAGTGAGAGGAGAGAGTGCGGAGACGAGTTGCGCAAGGATCTTGGCAGACCTTGGAGAGAATTGCGAGTAGCGATCTTGAGCTTGAGCGTAGAGAGAGTGAGCAGTCAGTGCTTGAGCGACCGACGAGCAGTGGCGATTGTGAGAGAGCGAGCGAAAGGGAGAACGTTTGTGTGTGCAGGCAACGCAATGTCGAAGGTTCCCCAGCTGCGAGTGTCTCCACTCAGGGTGCCGCAGATCGGTCTACGCGCATTTCAAGATGTGCTGCTAAGGCTGAAGCTCGATTTTCTCCTATGGGGGTGGAACTGGACATGTCCGGAGATGGTGCGCGAGTATCTGCAGGAGAGACACAAGCCCTCTCGCGGATTCCGCCCACACCCAGAGAGATGGGACATTTGCAACTGGGCGCAGGTGTTGGGCAGGTGTGCGGGCGAGGAAGGGGACCTCCTCTTCGAGGCCGATAGCGTGAAGGTGTCCCAGGAGGAAGAAGTCTCTTACAATGAGCTCTTCAAAGTTGCCAGGCATCCCAAGAACGGTTTCCGGACACGGGATTACAAAGATCGATTGCGGAGAAATGTCGCGACTGCATTGCTGCAGATATTGCAGCCGACCAAGACCGCTTACATGCATGGTTGGCAGGTAGAATTTGTGGAGCTAGTGTTGTCAGGAGCTCCAGTGCATTGGGCACAGCTCCTGTGGAAGGTGACGCGCCAACATGCGCAAGAAGAGAAAGGAGGAACCCTCAATCATCTCTCGCCTTACTTGATCGTGTTTTATCGGGCGATGGGATGTTTGACAAATGCTGAGAAAACACGGTTTCCGCAGCTGACCCGGAACTATCCAGGTAGATATTCGAGGGAGGCCGAAGTAGACACGGATCCGGACGAGGAACCTGCCAGTACGCCTCCGGCTCCGGCTCCAGCAAGAGCAGCAGAAGAACGTCGAAGTGAGCGCATTCCGCGAAAGCGGAAGTGGGATGAGAGACCTGAGGACATGCAGCCGGAAGTGCCAGCTGCGCCAACTCGTGGTCGGCCCACCCCCGAGCCTCACAGTCGACCAAAACAGAGGGCACGCAAAATGCCAACTGGTACTGAGGAGACCGGGCGAACTCCGACCCGGCGGAATCTCACACAGGAGGAGATAATCGCTCAGATTCTAGGGAAGACGGCAGATACCTCTGCACAGAAGGCACCACGGCCTTCGGGAGGAGATGGACGGACTGACAGTCGGCCGACTGCGAGTCGGATGACTGAAGGCCTACACGCGGAAGGAAGGCCAACTGAGCGGCGCGTTGAACCGGACAGCAGGCCGGAAGCAGAAGAGAGTTTGGCTGACGAGCCAACAATCCTCAGAGGGTCGTCTTCGGCGGAAGGCACTTCTGGGAAAACGCCACCAGCAAGCAGGCCAAGTGGAGTCAAGACGCGCATGGTGTATCCGACTCCCAGTCGGACAACTGCTGGTCGGCCGACTGCGAGACGGATGGGGCCAACGACAAGTGTGCAGACGCCTTCGGCGGACGCACCTTCAGCGAGGACACCTTCCGCGCA